TTATTAATCTGGAACAACGGAACCAAAGCGCGATTCAGGAGACTACAGCGCCATCTCTTGACCATTGGTGTAGTAGAACCAAAAACCACATCTTTATTTTTTGTAATAAAGTAACAGTTATAGGTATTCATATTTATAATATTTATCCACATGTTTCTAGTTTGTATATTCGGAATACGTGTTTGAGTTTCATACAAGTGCAAATCACATATGTTCTAATAAATTATATTCAGTAGCGATCTTAATTGGATATTTTGATTATTTATTTATTTTTTCAAATTAAAACTGAACTTTATTGACTGTGTCCTTTTCCAGATTTTTTATTAATTTATTGTAATTAATTATTTGCATGCAATTAAAAACTAATTTTAAACGATGCCAAAGAAGGATAACTTCTCACGCGGCTACATAAGTACACGCACCCATTTTTTTTTAATTATCTTTTTACTGTAATAGCTGAACATTTTCCGGAAAAAAACTACGGTGTAGGTATACATGTAAAGTTTTCTTGGCTCAGTTTCAATAATAAATTTCAGTTTATATTTACCAACAGCCCAAGGTCTCAAGGGTAAAATGAATCAATGTATAAGAGAATATATAAAAAATGGTTTAAAATAATGTCGCAACATTTCAAGTGTATAATATTTTAGTATCATCTTGTTTCACCTCTAACGCTATGACAATCCCCAAGGCATATCATCAATTATTATTATCCGATGAAAATGAAAACAAAAAAGGTTTTTTTCCTTTAACGATGCTACCATCGACTATCATAGGGCGTAGTAGCCTTTTTAATAAGAACCAGGGCTCGTAACCGGTTTCGAAAATACCGGTAAATAAAGGTTAATACCGGTTTTTAGTAAAGGTTTCGTTCGGAGCACGTCCGAAATGAAAGCGGTACCTAAAACCTTTATAAACCGGTTTAATCCAGAGCGACACGTGTACGCGTCGGTATAGCTTGAAGTTTGTTTTGTTTGAACTAATCAAGTCACAACTTGTTAATGCTCAGAGATTGATGCATTTATTGACTCGTTTGCTAGCGTCTAGTGAGTCGAGTCATTTTGTAGTTGTGTACTGACACACTATTTCATTCACTCGCTCTGTAGTTGGAAAGAAACTGACATAAAATCATTATACATTTGAATTGAAACGGCGAAGGCGATGCCGTCATTAAGAGCGAAATGAATTCTTTTCTTCTTCTTCTTCGGGTGCCTCTCCAACTAGTGAAGGTTGGCCATCAGCTCGGAAAATTTCTTCTTATCTCTCGCGAGGCGGAACAGTTCAGCCACGCATGCATACGCATAGCATGTTACGTAGGTACTGCGGTGCAGAAGGCAACGGGAAACCACTGCACTATTTTCCCTAGTAAAATCAGCATGGAATCCTTTTAAAAACCTTCAAAACTTGATTCAAAACCTATTTGATTTCGCTTTTTAGGAAAACCGGTTTTATAAGGTTAAGATAGAGCCAAACCTAAATAAAACGCTCCTAATGTACTTGATACTGATTTAGGTTTGAAAATTAACCGGTAAAGAAGGCCCTGATAAGAACAGCCTAGTTATGGAATTAATCACTCGTTTCTTTAATCCCCTGACACATATAGAGTCTGTCGAAATGACGATTGATTATGCCTCCTTGACAAACCTATTCCATTAGCCTACCCACATTGCACGGCTGCTTATTTCATGAATGGTCCCAATGAAAGTTTTTAACTATCTCGTCTTTAAAATATATGATGTGGTATCACTCACTCAGCTATCATTTATTATTATTTTAAAATTTTTGGGTCTTTGCAGCCCTAATGGAAGTGTTATCACTGTGACCTATTAGATCTATTGTGACTCGCCACCAAGTTAAAGTATCTTTTTTAGGCCAACAGTTTCCAAGAGGCTCAGAACGTTTCTAGCTGTTAATGATTTGATATCTTAAGGGTTTATTATATGTCGCCCCAAATGAATACTACGTTTGTGGATGACAGGCCCATATTCACATAGAAGATGTTTTGGTGTTTCACGCTCCTGATTGCAATATCTGCAAACATCAGTGTCACTTAATTTCATATGAATTAGTTACTTAATACTTTCACAATCGCAGATCGAATACGCTAACCACCTGCGGCATTAAGCCTGTTACACTGAATAGTCAAAATCGTAACACAGATAAGATAAAATTACATATATGTACTATATATCTCTGGAAAGAAAATTTAGGTAATTCCTTCAATACACAACTGCAAAATTTTACTGAAAAGCTCTCTTGTATTTTTGAATCCTGTCCTAATGATCTATTTTTAATTATGGGTGATTTTAACCTTAGCAATGTCGATTGGCGTGGCGAGTTGGAACTTCTACAGCCGGAAGGCATTACGGGTGAAGCACAGATACACTTTTTTGATATTCTTAGTGAATGTAACATCAATCAATTTAATTCCAACAGAAATTGTAATAGTAGAATATTAGACTACGTGTTATGTAATAAGGAAGTATCTGTTACGCCATGCAACGACCCCATAGTACCTGAAGACAACCATCATAAGTCTCTAACTATTATATTAAATTTAACCCAGGCTAACCCATTAAAATCCAAAACTAGGCTGAAATATTATTACGACAGAGCAGATTATTTCTCAATAAATTCGCACTTGAAAAATATAAAGTGGCAACATTACTTATATAACAATTCAGTGGAGGAAGCTACTACTATATTTTATGAACACTTGTATAATATTATAGATAAATACGTTCCACACAAGTACATTTTAGATAGTACTTCATACCCACCCTGGTACAATGCGCCTTTGAAAAAAAATCTTAGGGAAAAGTATAAGTATCTTCAAAAGTATAAAACATACGGTAATAATTATGACTATGATACTTATTGTCTTCTTCGAGAAAGGGCCAAAAAAGTTGAACATAATTGCTATCTTGATTACATCAGGCGTTGTGAGGATTTAATAATAAAGCAGCCAAAAACCTTCTGGTCGTTTGTAAGGTCGAAGAATAGTGGCACTAATACAGTGCCGTCATCATTATACTATGGGGAAAAGTCAGCCAATACTAGTGAGGGGATCTGCAACCTCTTTTCGTCATACTTTCAAACTACTTTTCTTTCTCGGTCCTCCAGTGATAATCAATACGATAATCCGTTTTCTTCTACTTCAACAGATTTTAATAACTCAAACTTTGTTAATAATATTGGTAGCGTCCAGATTGATCCAGAATCAGTCTTAAAATTACTTAAATCCGTTGATCTACATAAAGGAGCAGGGCCGGATAGAATAGTGCCACTATTTATTGTAAAATGTGCTGATCAGTTAACGGAACCACTAGCTATTCTATTCAAACGTTCAATCTCAGAAGGGATTGTACCCCACATTTGGAAATCCGCGTTTATAACTCCAATACATAAAGGTGGATCTAAAAATGAAGTAAAGAATTATAGACCCATATCGAAGCTTTGTATTTTTTCCAAAATTTTAGAACGAATAGTTTATGATCAGGTGTATAATGCTTTGTCGCCGGGGTTTATCAACGAGCAACACGGATTTTTAAAAAGGCGCTCTACTACTTCCAATCTTCTCTCATTCGTAGACTTTACTACTACTAACATGGACTCTGGAGGGCAAATTGACGCAATTTTCACCGACTTTAGCAAAGCGTTTGACCGGATTGACCACTTAATTCTGCTTCGTAAGCTCCTTCTCGCAGGAATCCATGGTAGCCTCTTTAGATGGTTTACGTCATATATAAAAAATCGCTCCCAAGCGACAGTTCTGAACGGTTTCTCTTCTACCTTTACTCATGTTCCCTCAGGTGTACCCCAGGGATCTTTACTTGGGCCTTTGCTTTTTAATATATTCATTAATGATGTTTTCTATTGTTTCAAAAATTCAAAATTTCTATTATACGCAGATGACATGAAAGTGTTTAAAAGAATCGATTGTCAAAAAGACTGCCAGTTACTCCAGGAAGATTTAAATAGGTTTGAGTTATATTGTTCTTTAAATAAATTAGATCTGAACATATCTAAATGTAACCTCATAACCTTCACTCGTAAACGGAAGCCATTCCGCAATAAATATGTTTTGAAAGGGAGTGAACTGGTGGAAGTTGATGAGATTCGAGATCTGGGTATTTTACATGATTCGAAATTAACATATGAGAAACATATAGACCTTATAACTAAAAAGGCTAGAAAATCCTTGGGGTTTGTGATTAGAGTTTGTTCAGAATTCAGAAACATTAAAGTGCTGAAAATTTTATACTGTTCTTTGGTGCGAAGTATCCTCGAGTACTGTTCTCAAGTTTGGAACCCCTGTTATAGCGCTCACATTATCCGACTTGAATCTGTTCAGCGAAGATTCTTAAGGTATTTACAATACAAAAGTAGGACTTATGACTCTAGCTACGAGGAAAGGTGTCGTAGACATCACATCCTGCCCCTGAATGAGCGAAGAAAAATAGCAGATGTATTTCTACTGGCAAAAATCGCTCAAAGTCTCATTGACTCGCTGGACGCACTAACAAAAATAGGTATAAAAATCCCTAACAAAACCGTAAGGCGATTTGTACATTTAGATGTTCCCCAATGTGGTACTAATTACAGACAAAACTCTTTTTTCGTAAGGTCTGCTAAAGAAACTAACAAATTAGTAAGTTTCCCCCAACTTGACTTATTTATAACTAAACCACAAATACTTAAAAATATCTTAGTCAGTTCTTGGTTTGCTGATTCTCAAACTGCCTAGCTTAACTAATGCATGCTTTAAGCGTCGCTTGCTGTTATATCTCAATTATCTCTAGTCTTATTACTTTCCTGTATTTTTCACTTGGCACTGCTTGTATGGTTTCAGCGACGAGCTTTGTATTGTTAGTCATATGCGAAAACGTGTTAATGGTGTCTAGATTTACATTTAGTTATAATTACTGTTAAAAAAACACTGTACGTTTTCCGAATAAAATAAAATAAAATAAAATAAATAAATATTATATCTGTTGTAGATCCATGGGCTGCCGACGTGACGGAAGCGGGAGTGGCGATACAAGTGTCGCCATCTGGCGGCGTGCTGGGCCCATGCGCTCGCATCGAGCTGACGATCAGCGCGTACGCAGACTGCTGGGGGCTGTACCGGGACCAGATACTTATAATGGTAAGTTAGATGATGTGTGACCGTGACCAGATACTTATAATGGTAAGAAGATACAGAAGAATAAAGAACGCATGGACGAGGATCGGGCCGTTAGAAGCGCGTACACGGGGATGCCTTGCGGAGGCTGGTTGGGCGTCCTAAGTACCGCTGGAAAGATCAAGTAGTCAATGAACTGTTCGAGCTGCGAGGAAAGCACTTTGTCAACGTGGCAGAAGATCCCCCCCTTGTAGTTCTGTCCTGCACAGAGGGGGGCAGCGGAGGGAGCTACACGGGCACGCACAAGTAGTCCTCCGCAGCGGACGGGGGGCGGTACGGTGGGCACTAGGCCGCGTACTCAGGCCCCATGCGCCCTCCATCCTGCGCACATCTGCGGGGTCCCCACGTTACCCCGGGAGACCCCTGCCGCGGAACCTCGGCTAGAGCTGCTAGGTGCGAAGACGCAGAAGAATCCCTAAACGGGGATCCCGCGGCTTCGCGCTAAGCAGCTTAGAGGGTATTCGCAGGGTTTTTTAGCGTATATTATGGCGTAAGAGTTACGGGGTTCTCAGTGGGTAGCCACTGCTGGGGCTTGTAAGGCTTGCGGGAGCCAGGTGTGAGGTCCGTTCGGCGGTGTGCCTCTTAAAGGCGTCGTCGTCTGTTAATAGCATTTTTTACCTGCGTTATATAAAAAAAAGGCGGCAGAAGATGTGCCAATGCGCGCCTGCCTCTCCTCCCCCTCGCCCTTCCGCTGCGAAGAGAGCCCGTGAGGGCTTGTAACTCGCGGGCTCTCTCCGAGGATATCATCTCGCAGAAGGAGACCACCGTCTGCCATGACCTGTCGCTATCCAGAATGGCTTTTACCACACTGGGCAGCGAGAGGTCCGTCCCTACAGTCTTCGCCAGAGTGGTACGCCGCCTAGTCCACGCCGAGCACACCTCGGCCGCGTCGAAATTTTCGACCAATAGGGCCGTGGTAGCATAATGGTCAGTGCATTCACCCGGATTGCGAAGGGTGCCGGTTCGAGTCCCGTCCGCTGCCTGGTCCGCGTGGATTTTTTTCTAGTAAAACTTTTCTTTAGATTTAAACATCTAGCAGTTAAATGCTTAAAAATAAATAAAAACATAACTATGATAGTATAGTTATAATCAACCGGATTAAATATTGAGTGCCATCACGCGCCCATATGAGCTCGATACGCGCAAAATGTCTATTTGCTGTAAGAAATTGCATGGGTCATGCTAGGGGGGCAGCATTACTACGACAACTAGGGAGTTGTTGTTGTAGTAAACTGCCCCCCTAGCATGACTACCGAAACGGGATATGATAAAGCTTTTTATCGAGTCTCAACTGTCAAACTCCACTGTAGTATGATAGTTAATGCCGATATATCGCTTTATCATATCCCGTTTTGGTGGTCATGCTAGAGGGGCTGTTATTCGTTCTCCCTTAAATCGTTTAGCTGAAACATATAACAAAACGTTTAATACAATAGATATTTTCAGCTGTAGTACTAGTCCATTTAGGAGACATATAGTAAATCTGTTATCCAATAACTTAGAACAACAAAATATATAAAAAAATAAAACATAATCGAAAAATAAAACAATAAAACATTAGTTTATGTTAGCAATCTGCCCTGTAACAACAGTCTATTAGACATTGTTTATTTATTTGAATATTTACCTTCCATCATAAACACAAAAATACACTGAAAAATACTACCATTTACACTCACATCCATGTGTAAGAACTTACACGCACAACATACATAAAGCAAATCTTACTCTTTGTTTAAACAATTTATTATATTGGATATATTTTGACAAATTACCTAAGTGTTTTTATAGTTTCTGAGTTAGTTGAGTTTTGTACGTGTAAAATTTTATATTTACAAGGTAACCATCATCTTTGAGTTTACGATAAGCAATAACATTGTAACATAGTTATTCTAACTTTAAGTAACATTGTACAAACTCGTTTGTGGTTCATGATATGAATAAATAAAAAAATTAAAATTAAAATAATTTTACGCTTACTGTTTGGCAACTACAGAAACATATTATTGTTCGTAGCTGGACAAGCTCTTTAACATGTCATGTGAAGATATTTTGCAGAGGCCTATGCTCAACAGTGTCTTACTAGTATCGGCTGACAAATGATGAAATAAAATGTAACGAAATTATACTTTATTCAAATGGATTTACTGAAATCTAACTCATCAAAGCTCATAAATAAAATCAGATAAATGAGAAGAAATGTATATTAAGTTGGACAGGTTGAGTTTTTTGGTATCAAATTCAGCGAACTTAATATTCGAATATATCAGATTTTGGGAAAATGTAAAACGAATAAAGCTCTGAATAGGGAAGTGAAAATTCATGGAAAGATTATTTCCCAGCAATTTATACAAAAAGTCTTCCCTTTTCCAGTACCCCACGCTTTTACAATCATATATTATAATTAACAGTCAGCCCAGAAATAGCGACAACTTAAACGATCCATAATTTATTTTTGGTTTTTACGTGCTTTTTTTTTGTTATAGATAGGTCCGACAAATGACTTCACCCCACCTGATGTTAAGTGAAGGTGAAGTCCAGACGCGAAGATGGCTGATACAGCAGTTCTACCTGCCACACCAGCCATCCTCACCCTGCCGGCCTGCATGTTGCTTCTTCACGCCTCTAAAATTAATTTAATTTAATTTATAAAAGCGTGGTGTTTTTTTTAGTTTTTTTTAACTATTAATTATTTTATACTTTTTATTCTCTGATCACGAAATATTTTTGACATTTATACATTTGTTTTAAGTAGGCATATGAGCCTGTTTCCTTTCCATCTCCGCGAGCACGTCTGTATTGCATGGTGTTTTACCTGTCAGCTTAGAACAATCTAGCTCTTCAATCTGGAGACCACTAAGTGATTTTACTCTACTTAGGGCCACATAAGCTTGTCCAGCCGCAAAAGTACGGGACTCTAAGTACACCGCTGCATGATCTACCGTACAGCCTGTAGATTTTATAGGTCAGAGGAGCTGAATAAAATACGGAATCACAGTGACGAATGATACTTATATTCTGTGAAATATATTTTAACTAGGAAGCTGATACGACTGACTCCTAGCACAACAGAATACAAAGTGAAGCAAGTTTATAAGTGAACTGAATGCGTGAATGATCGAATGAGTGGGGGTTGAACGAACGAATGAAGTATTTGAATTAAGACTGAATGAACAAGTATACTTTGGCATTACCTAGTCATGTTAGTTTCCTTTTTATTACAAAAGGAATACAAATTATAATATATATTGATTAATTTTTGCTTATTTAAATATAATATAAATGGTAGATGCCCAACTTAAAATCACAGGCATAGTTTCATACCGGTCGACCTAATAAAAGCGTGTTCAAAAAAACAGAACATACAAAGACGCATGTAATGAGCCCAAACTCGATGTGTTTACTAGTAGGCAGTCCAAAATTCCATCAGCAACCTTCCAATCCCATCATCAGACCAGCTCGAAGGTACTATAATATTATATTGTCACCTTATCTACATTTAATTGCAAAGTTATATTATGTTAAGACGAATCTCATGAGCCCAAACTCGATATGTTTACTAGTAGGCAATTCAGGGTCCATCAGTCACCTTCCAGTTCATTGTCAAGACCTCATCATCAGAAGAAATGTATAGAATATATTAAGGCAAATCTAATGAGCCCAAACTCGATATGTTTACTAGTAGGCAGTCCAAGATTCCATCAGCAACCTTCCAGTTCATCGTCAAGTCATCTAGATACTTCAAAGGTTGTGAAAAGTTATGTAATTCCCCTTTTTTGTAACTCATTTTAAATAATTGTGTATTTTTTTGGGAAATCTGGAAGTATATGACGAATGACATACGATGCACCAGATGATTACTATCTGTTATAGAAAATTATCTAATATCGAAGAGGATGAAAGAACTCGACGGTTTACTGGGAAAGGAGATTGGTCAAATTGGCCTAAATGCAAATAAAATATTGACATATACAGTAATTCTTGGCGTAATTTATACTTTATTTTACAGTCATTAGATTTTAACGGCCACCTTTAAATAATATATTAATTTTAAAAAAGGACTTCTATTTTTACCGGTTTGGAAAACATACGAATCATTTTTATTGGCTATGGGTGTAGTAACATTCACAAAGACTGATCGAGGTTGTTTATATAACATCAAAACAAATCTATTTTGTAATGATTGATAAAATATATTTTTTTTTATTACACGGGTGGTATTAATATCCACAACTTTATTATCATTTTTACTACATGCAAATGTGCTAAGACAATTAATATAGATGGTAGGCGACATCATAAAGTCTATTGCCGTACATTTTTTGCCAAACACCTAAATAAACACATTATAAGGTGTGATACACTAAAAATCTAAAATATGGTTATAATAAAAACATAACTAAAATAATGAAGCTGCTGAAGATATGGCTGATAACCTACAGCTCTTAGCTGTCTTTGATTAACGAGAGTTTAAAAATTCTCTCTAATCAATAATCTGGCTCATTCACAATCATCACACAGTTTCTGTTCGTGTTTTTAAAAACATGCACATATCTGTTATTTTACATGCTCTATATACCTGAATCTAATACATAATATCGGTAGGTACTTGGCTTGATTGCCCTAATTTCCTATATAAGTTATTTGGTTTTTATTATTGTAATACCTATGTGCCTATTTGCAAACATAACCTCAAAATCATTCAGTGTATATGGTTTATAGAAGTTCTCAGGAGTGGCCGTCGATAATATTCGTTTCTACGGTAATTTATATATAATTTCGAATGTAGGAAACAATTTTTCATGGTTATTGGTTTTTAGGCCAAACATGTATGGAAGCTGAGCAATCTCCTTTGGTCGTCGATCGTGGAAATTTAGCAATATTCTGATCATAGGATGGTATTCAAAAATGTCTTATCTTGAGGCCCATCTTGCTTCCGAAGATAAGTCGAGCCGTTGGCTGCA